TGCCCCGGTCAGAGGGCGATCCGCGCTTATTGACCTATATGTTGTAATGTTCAAATGAACATTACATTAGACAGCAGAAACAAAATTTCGGCTTCCGGGTTTCAAAATTTGAATGTGCATTAGATACGATGACGCATTATCTATCGCTAACAAGTAAATCAAAACAATTTCACTTTAAATTAAAGTTCAATTTAAAAAAATGATTATAAAAATAATTAGATCACAAGATATTTTTATGTTAGGGAAAATACCTTGTGAGTTTTCTGTACAAAAATTATTCTGGAAAATAATTCATCTCCCAGCTCCAAAACTACTGAAGGATTTTAACCGAAAAAGTAAAAAATAAATACATTTTAAATGTCAGTTTTGAAAAAAAAAAAAAAGAATAGTGACCACAAGATTTTGTAGTGGGTAGATCATTGGATACTTTAGTCAGAGCTATTTCTACAAAGTAATGAGCACGGAAACCAGACTGAATCAGGTCGGACAGAGAGTTGGATTTGAGGAATTCTGTCAATCTCGCATACACAACTATTTCAAGTATCTTGGACTTATAAGGCAATAGTGAGGTATGGCAGTAGTTAGATGGGAAGTTAGGGTCAAGGTTGGGTTTTTTAGGAATCAGGGTTACAGTTACATGTTTGAAGAATGATGTAAATATGCCAGAGGATAGGGAGAAATTGAGAATTTTAGTTAGAGGTAGAGAAGGATACAGAGTACGGATGAGATGTGAGGAAATAGGATCAAGGGAGCAGGTGGTGGAAGGACCGGAGAAGAGCAGAAACCTCTTCTGCTGTAGCCAGTGTGAATGAACATAGAATAGCAGGAGTGGGGTTAGGGGAAGGAGAGAGATGATAGATAGCTATTCCCTGATTGTAGAGATCTTTCCAGTGAATTGAAGAGGCAAAGATTGTGGTGGTCAAGTTGGTCAGAGAAGGAGGAGCAACAGGGCGAAGAAGAGAGTTAAAAGTGTGAAGTAGGTGCTTTGGGTCATGGTAGAGTGTGGTTATGAGGGTGTAGAAGTCATTTACTTTTGCAGAGGAAATATGTGTATTTCACTTGTACAATTTCATTATAAGTGTTTTTTGATATTAATATGTAAATATAATGTATATATATATATATATATATATATATATATATATACACATTATACTTTATATATAATGAATATATAATTATATAAGTCACACATATATATATACAACAATTCAAGACAGAGAATTTAAGTTGCAAGCCTATATTTGTCCCTGTAACTTTTCAAAACACCAAAAAACCTGGATATGGAAGTGTACTGTTGTACTCAGGAGAATTTGCTGAATACAAATATAGAGCAGTAAAATGTACAATGCTGATGATATCATCTGTGAAAAGGCAATTTCTTTGTGAAAAAAAAAATATGAACGCTAAGTTTGGCGAGGGTTTTTGACTAAGTTGCTACTAAAAAAGACTGGACATACCCTATTTTGAATACTCTGGGTTGTCTACTTTTGTAAATGGCATGCCATGATGGAGTTAATTATAATTCCTTGTCTGCCACACCATCTCAAAGGTAACATAGGCCCAGCAAATCAATATTGCAAATATCAATGTGTAAAAACTGAAAAGGGGAAAGCCCTATATTTGAACCGGTAAGTTTCCAAAACCCCCATAAAACCTGTACTTTTGTACTCATTGCTGTACATAAATATGTGTATTTAATGCAGTACAAGCTAACTGTATAAGTATTATGACATTTACAGTTAAAATGCCATGCAGACATTTTAAATTTATCAATTTCTATTTTATTTATATTAACTTATATTTCATAATTAATATTTTATGTGAAATGAAATCCTTGTTCCTCCAGAACAAAATGATATATAATAAGCGTGGGTACACTTAATATGAAAGTGGTACCTTATGGTTGACAAAAATATAGCTCGAATTCTAGGTTTTGTTTTGATCGGAATTGCCAACCGATGTTTACATTATAAATAAACATGCCTCAAGATCCTTCCCTACCCTAACATGACTGTTGGGTGTGGATGGGGTGTTTGCATGCTCGGGTATTCTGTTTTTAGGTTAGTTATGAGGTATATGGCAATTTTACCATTTTGCTGCATACTATAAAAGTTGTAGGGTTTTAACACAGCTTATTCTTGATCACCTTCTTATGCTCTTACTGAAATGTATTAAACATATTTTGATAGTTGTTAGAAAACATAAGAGTTAATAACACAGGTAGAGGGTGGCTTAAAAGAGAATTAAGTAACAAAAAAAAAACCCATACAAATTGAATTAAAAATTCAGAATATAAAACAATAATTATCATTTAGAAATCAATAAATGTTTTTGCCATTTCCATTAACTACCTCAGGAACAATAATATTCTGCTAAGTCCATTACTGAAAGAGTTAATTTATTTATATTTGTGTCAAAGGATAATATATTTTTGCTTCCAATTCTTACTGTTGAGTTGAATGAGCCAATAAGCCATATTATTAATATTCTACAGTTAACAGATGGTGATAATCTGTCTCATGCCAAGATTGATATAGCTATAGCAGTCCTGGCAGCTGAACTGATGAAAACCATTCATAAAATGTACACTAAATAGGTGTGGTATATGCTTATGATAATTATTGAAAAAACTAAAAAGTTTATGCCTTGAACTTCTAATCACTTAAACTAAAATTATGCGGTTATTTGCTAATTGTGAACTGCATTTACCCAACTGCATACACTCATTACAGATTCAAAGATTCAACACAATACACTACAAGCAGCGCAGAAACATGCACATACATAGATTTATACCTGTGCAGTTGTCAGATATGAATATATGTTTTTTAGATGTGTTTATGTTTGCAATGTCCTGTTAATAAATTCATTATATTTACTGTATCTGCTTTTTGGGGGAAGTTGGGGAGCAGGGGCACCTTTGAATTTTGTGTCTACAGGCACCTGACATGTAAGTCCAACCCTGTAAAGGACAAAGAAAGACAGCGGGGGAGATTTATCAAAGTTTTGCTGACATTTTTTACTTCTAATTTTTGGTGAATTGTTTGTATAATTTATTAAAGCTGTTAGATTTTTTTTTTCTATCAGCTGCCTAACTGTAATTTTTCATTATGCACCATTTTTTCGGTGAGTAATTAACCCAGATAGAATGGTGGTTTAGAAACAAAAGAAACATAAGAATTATATTATAATTTATTTTATTTTTTTAATGAATTTTTCCTCCACTTTGAATAGTGTTCTGTTACATTTTCCCATCACTGTAAATTGAGAGCCGGACTGGGAATGCAAAGCAGCCCTTGAAAAAAAATGTATGCCAGCCCCAAAAGTCACTGTGCCACGGTAGTGTTTGTGTGTGTGTGTGTGTATATATAGATATATATAGATATATGACGGATTGCCTGGCACTCTGACCGAGTGCCTCCGCCAATCGAAGCTCTTAGTGCTCACCGAGGAATTCCAACACTTCACCAGACACCATAAGCACTGCAGACCCCACTTCTAAAGATGCAGCTGAGCCGGGGTCTCGCTGTCCTTCACCCACCCTAGACCCAAGACCAGGATCCAGCTTCCAGTGGGCAGACCTCTCCTACTCCCAGAGAGCGTAGCAGGAACAGCTCTTATAAGAGCTAGTGATTATAATTCCTGGGGAGTATAGTGATATAGCAATCCCCAGGATAGCTACAGCCATTTCCCCTACACATGAGATGAGACTCTATGTTGAGGGTAAGCAGGAGAAGAATTTTAATGGAAGCACACTGGCCTTTTATGCAATTTTTCCAGGTGGACCTTGTTGGACACAGGGACACAAAGTGAATAAACCAATAAAAACAGAGTCATACAGTGAGACACTCCCATACACGAACAATAGAATCCCTTTCCTGTGCTTGGGAGATAGCCCCAATCTGGGTGAACAACATTGTTGTATAATCCTTCTCTCACCACCAATACTTCCAATTGGTATCCATTTGAGAGAAATCCACTCTGCGTTGTGTTTTAATAGTGAATGTAATATCCCTGTGTCACCTCTTCCAAGAACTAACATATATCTTTATCCCCTTGCCCAGATAAATATATGACTAGAACTACTAAGGTATTCTACCCGATATTACAAATAAACAGCCAACACCATGTTCTTACCAGAGAGAAATCAGAGAGAAGAATGTTACAGAGTTATATTATTACAGAGTTACAATACATTCATAACACTCATACATTCCATCTATCTAATATCTACTGTATTGTGTGTGTGCTGTGCGATGTTATGTGCAGCATGTGTCTTACCAAACCTAATCTCATGTGATGTCAGTATCTTCTATTTTTAAAGGAATTGGTTCCCATGTTGTAAATAGCAAATTCCTCAGCTCAATTGATATGTAAATGTGATTTACTTTCCCAAGGCCCAAAGTGTTGTCTATCCTGTTATTTTATTTAAGTGTTAACTCTCCCAGCCATCCCTTTGCCTCTAACCCAAGGTGTGTTTTCCTAGATAGGGACTCCTTTGAAGACCAGTTGATATGTAAATGTGATTGGTGCCTTTCAGGTGCTGTATCTTTCCAACTATCTAAACAGAAACTCCCTTTGAAGATAATTCCTGACCTCCCATACACACAGACTTAATCAAGCACATATTAAACAGATATATACATAATATTTTCCCCAACACTCCCCCACTTGAATAAGATCTAATAAGGAGATTATTCACATGCAACCCGCCTCCCACTCTGATTTCTGTATATTAAAAAAAAAATCAAGGGAAGACATGAACCCACACATATATTTTATATCCCTAAAATGGATGTGAGCTCTAATTTTTCCTGCTTTGTATGGATTTTTTTTAGTTCTTTCCTCCAACAGCAATATAAAATGAATAGAGAACAGATTAAAACAAATTGTAGACAAACAAATATTACAGAAGCAGTTCTTAATCCTGGGTGTGTGTAAGTATTGTAAGGTATGCTCCACCAGGGCTCTTGAAAACTATTTGTTAAATCATTAAGGCTAGCTACATTTTCCTTCACCAGCTCTTGCAATTGCATAACCCTTCGATTATTTCTTTTAAATAATGTATCCAAATCTACATTAAGTGGTGGGATTTTCTTAAAAAGTGAGGGAGCCATTTTATTCCAATTTCCTAGATCTTCCTGTACCACGTCCATAGATCTTTGTGTGAGTTGGATATTGGCTCTTATGACCTCTTTGCCCACTTTCATGGAGCCGTAGGTAAGATTAACACACCATCCTGTTGGGGGTACCCTACATTGTATAGTTTTCTGCCACAGAACTGAAGATACTCCCAGTGCGCAGATCGTGGGACCCTGTCCATGCACCACTCTTTTCCAACCATTTATGGGTTTGTGAAGGTGAACAGGGCAGCTCCCTGAGTTTTCCACCATGCACCCATCTGCCTGGACTAGTGGTTCTAGTACACAGGAACAAAGCCAATCATTACCACGTCTGTGACAGCAACTGGGGTTGATAACTTTCCAGAACTGGTCTTCTTTTATTACTAAGCGAGTTTGTGGAAGGAATTGCTTTAAAACATTAGTGCGATTAGCCACTTCCAACTCACCAAACATAGTCATCTTATAAACAGGTACAGGCTGTTCTGTCCAAACTGGAATGTCAATTATTAATGGAATTACCTGTTTTCCTAATTTGCACTTATTGCACCAACTCTGCAGACCTTTAATTTTGGAAAGGACTACATTCTGACAATCTATGCCATATTCCCTAACCAGATCAAAGACTAGGGTAGAATTGATTATTCTGGGCCATTCCCCTCGTTTTATTTCTTGGAGGCCTAAATTTAGATGTTCGTCTAGTAAATTTCCAACTATACCACATACCATAGCTTTAGATACATTATTGTTATTAACTGATTCTCTGAGAGCATTCACAGATATATTAATCCACTGCAAATCTGCAGCAACTGTGTGAATGTTCTGTATCGTGACATCAGTTTCAGCTAGAGTGTTAAAATCCACTTGTCCCTCTTTAAGCATAATTTGCTGCAACCCATTAACATAATTTTGTTCTCGTGAGTTAAGACCCTCTATGTCTGCCCTATTCCAAATTGATGTTCCCAAACTGAGTCCTGAGATTATTATATCAGTACCCAGATCCCTTTTTTCTCTCTCTCTAAACTTGAGCCCTTGTGTTGCATCCCAGAATAGATTAATATGTGCTTGAAATACATTTTTAAATCATTCTTTCATCATCACTGGGCAACTCTGTGGCATATTAAATAATGAAAAATTTAACAATAATGGTAATGTTACATAAGATACATCAGTATACACAACAGTTTGTGTTGGTTGTAAGAAAAGGCCTTGCTCTGGCCACAGGGTGGTAGTTGGACAGTCCTGAGAATTTATAATTCTTATGTTAATTGCTGGGTCAACTGTATTATGTAATCCAGTCTGATGGGGGCTGCATGTTACAACACCATCCTGGGAAAATTTAAAATTTCTTTCCAGCAGCATCTTTATCCTCATTTCATTTGTGGTATTGGCCCAAAATATACTTGTACTCTTATGTAAATCACTTCCTCCTGGATATTTCCAAACTGCAAATTCAGAGGGAAGGTTAGTTTCAGGCATTGAAATATTACATTGTACCACTATCCACCCCCCTATAGGCCCAACCACTGTAAGATTATCTTTACATGTAACTTCAGGTGATTGTTCCTTTACTTTTAATGTTACTATGATATTCTCTGAATCTTCTGAACTCCTTTTCTCCCTATGATAACCCTTTACTGGAGTACTCTGATGTACCATTTTATTGTTATCAGGGCCGGTGATTTTTAGGTACATAGGCAAAGATGCATTTTTCCGCCCTCCCCCCACCCCCAAAAAAAATCTTCACCTATGTGGTGCCTCTTAACCAGCCCCTCTACCCTCCCCGACCATTAGTGGTCCAACCACCACATCACGACAGCTGTTTTCTTGCATTTCATATTCCTTATGTGGGCTTCTCTTCCAGGGATCCACTCCATCTCCTATTATCTGGAAAAGAGAACTAAGAGAATATGTTAACATTTACATTAACTCAGATTTAGTAAATGTTCCCAAGTCCTCATAGTTCTCCCTAATTGACCGTGGGCGGAAGATTTTTTTCTTCAGAATCTGCCTAGGATCCAAGTTTTAACATCAACGTATTTGGTTCTGTGACTGTCAGCCAGAAGAGGTTTCCAGTGTCTGCATAAAGCTTGTTGTGGTAAGACACATGCTGCACATAACATCGCACAGCACACACACAATACAGTAGATATTAGATAGATGGAATGTATAAGTGTTATGAATGTATTGTAACTATGTAATACTATAACTCTGTAACATTCTTCTTCTGTAATATTTAACTGGGCAGATTCTAAGTAAAGATTTCTCTCTGGTAAGAACTATGGTGTTGGCTGTTTATTTGTAATATCGGGTAGAATACCTTAGTAGTTCTAGTCATATATTTATCTGGGCAAGGGGATAAATATATGTTAGTAAGAGGTGACACAGGGATATTACATCCCTGTGTCACCTCAATATTACATTCACTATTAAAACACAACGCAGAGTGGATTTCTCTCAAAAGGATACCAATTGGAAGTATTGGTGGTGAGAGAAGGATTATACAACAAACATATCCAAAAATTACCCAGATCGGTTCAGGGATTCAGGAATTTCCTGGAAGTCTTAGTTTTGACCGACCGTGCACATGGTCCTATGCCCAAAACAGTTCCAGGGAAATCAGTGCTAACAGTCGGTCAAGTTCGGTAGTCTTTTACAGGTTTCCCTGCAGGGCCCATAGTCTGTGGGTAGGAGTCTGGCAAGCAGGCCCTTCCAAGTACAAGTGACGAGGTTACTTTCGCAACAATATATATATATAAAATATATGTTTATGAATTAGAAATGCTCAATCGTGGGTAGCAAGACTTAGCCATATGTAGCATGTTATAAAGGGATATTAAACATTCTCACTAAAAGGTATATAAATACATAATTTTATTATTGGGATGTTCATTTTTTTAATTATACATATTAGTAAAAATAAGCATACTCACATGCATGCACAGACAATCTCATTGACACAAGCACATAAGTTCACGGGTACAAAGGCTCACATACAGGCAATATCACTGACACACACAAGATCATTGACATACACAGACAAGCTTACAGGTACACACAAACTTAATACAGACAAACTCTCTGACACACACACACAAACACACACACAAGCTTACTACAGATAAACTCACTGGTACACACAAATATACTTAATACAGACAAGCTCACTGATACACACATGTCACTACAGACAAACTCACTGGTATACACAAAGATGCTTACTACAGACAAGCTCACTGACACACAAATGCTCATTACAAGCTCACTGATATAAACATGCTAACTACAGACATGCACATTGACACACTCATACATGCTTACTAAAGACATGCTCACTGACACACATATACATGCTCACTACAGACATGCTCACTGACACACACATACATGCTTACTACAGACATGCTCACTGACACACACATACATGCTCACTACAGACATGCTCACTGACACACATACATGCTTACTACAGATGTGCTCACTGACACACACATACATGCTCACCGCAGACATGCTCACAGACACACATGCATGCTTACTACAGATGTGCTCACTGACACACATACATGCTTACTACAGACATGCTCACTGACAGGGCCGGCCTTAGGCCTTGGGCGCCCTGTGCGAAAAATCTTCGCAGTGCCCCCCTTTCCCGTCCCCCTCTTCCTGTCCCCCTTCCCCCTTCCCACACAACCTGTCACAAAAACGCAGACAGCCACATGCACACACAGACATAGAAACATAGAATGTGACGGCAGATAAGTCTGCCCAGACAGTCACACAAAGGCAGTCACACACACAGAGGCAGACAGCCACACACAGACAGCCACACACAAACACACATGCAGACAGCCACACACAAACACACAGGTAGAGAGCCACACACAAACACACAGGCAAACAGCCACACACAGACAGCCACACACAAACACACAGGCAGACAGCCACACACAGACAGCCACACACAGACAGCCACACACAAACACACAGGCAGACAGCCACACACAGACAGCCACACACAAACACACAGACAGACAGCCACACACAAATAAACATGCAGACAGCCACACACATACACACAGAGGCAGACAGTCACACACACACACACACACACAAAAACACAGGCAGACAGTTACACACAAACACACACAGGCAGACAGCCACACACAAACATACAGGCAGGCAGCCACACACAAACACAAACACAGACAGTCACACACACACATAGGCAGGCACACACACACAGGCAGACAGTCACACACACAGGCAGACAGTTATACACACAGACACATTCATACACACAGACACAGTCAGGCACACAGACAGTCACACACACAGGCAGACAATCATACACACAGCAGACAGTCAAACACAGACAGTCACACACACAGGCAGACAGTAACACACACAGGCAGACAGTCAAACACACAGACAGTCACACACCCACACACGCACACAAAAGGGCATACAGACACACACACAGGCAGACAGTCAAACACACAGACAGTCACACACCCACACACAAAAAAGGGCAGACAGTCACACACAGGCAAACAGCCACACACAAACACACACACAGGCAGACAGTCAAACACACACACAGTCACACACACAGGCAGACAATCACACATAGTTACCTCTGTTCCTTGTGGAGGCAGACTACAGGATTCTGGTTGTTCCCCTGCAGCAGTTACACTGCACTTTTAGCTCCGCTTTTCCCTTATTTGCGGTTCGGAGTTTGGTGTTCTACAGTGGCTGTGCCTGCATCTCTGAAAGGGGATGATCGCCTAAACGGTTTTAACCCCTTGTGTGCAAAACGGTCCGTTACACAAGCCCAAACATGTTCAACATGGTTCTTGATTTAAAGTTCCTGGCATTAAAAATAAATGGAACAAGAGGCTGTTTTGGTTTTGGGGAGATATAAATAAGCAACTCAGATTTCCATGGAGGACAAGAGGTCTGCCTGATCTTTTGGGCACAATCTCCTGTTCAATCTAAAGTGCGAAAAAGAAGTTGAAGTAAAAAAAAGATGATTGGTGGTTAGGGAACAGCCAGTAAATTATGCGCTGTAGGTGCTGTGC